ACAAAAAAAATTTGCTTAAAGTTGCTAATAATTTTAACCTTAAAATGGTTTTTAAAAAATTAAAAACTGCTAGTTTTTTTTTTTTACTGACTTTCTCCAGAAGAAAAAATATTATCAAACATACTGTGAAAATTTTATTGCTTTGTTAAACATTGTTTAAGAAATATTAAAAAAAAAAAGAAAGAAAAAAATAATTAAAAGGAGGGGATGATAATTCTGACTTCAACTGTTGGATAAACTTTATTTGTCCTCAAGAGGAAATTTGTCTTGGGCAAAAAAGGTGCTACAACATTGCTGTAAACAGACAGTAAAAATAAATAAAACAAAACAATTAAGAGCAAACAGTTAACAACATACATTGTTTTCAGAATAAGACCGTATTTAAGTATAAATATAAAAAACACAGAACCCAGTCAAATGCTAACGTACTACAGGAACTGTGTTATTGGTAGAGTTCAACAATTTTATCGAGGTAGGAACAAACAAAAGCTTCAGTCTATTAGTTTTACACATTGGCATTCTCAGTCGTTTTCCTGATGGTAACAGCTGATATTTACTGAAAAGAGGATGTTTAGAATCAGCGCTAATACGTATTGCTCTTCTCATAGCCGCCTGTTCATATAGAGTCTGTATGGGCTTGTATTGTTTCAGTCCTATAATTTTCTTGGCTGTTTTGCTATATACAGCTATTGAAGAGATGTCAAAATGGAACAATACAGTATATAAGACACAAATATTTAATGATACTCCAGTCTATATGGCAGCAGCAGGATGTATATAAACAGTTTATTTGCAAAAAAAGATAACTCCATTTTTAAATACCATGTTTCATGTTGTGTATTGGAGAGTATACTTGCAAAAACATGATTTATGGAAATGACTAAAACTGGAGATTTGAGTAGTTTTCGGAAATCACAGTTTTACATTAAGTATTAAAAATTCAAATTGCAAAAAATCTACATTTATTAAAGAAAAAAGAAAAAAATCTCTTTATAGATCACCTTTTAAAATATAAGACTGTTAGGAGATTGTTGCAGTTTCACTAGCAACACAATGAATGAAAACACAATGAAGAGACATACAGTAGTACTTTATTCCAACTCATTATCTGCATTACATGGTTTTTACAGTGCTTAAAGAGTTCATCTTCAAGACAGGACGTTCTGTATGAAATTTGCACAAAATTTATGCTAAAATGAAAGAGTAAGTCAGTTTAATGGTGAAGGGATTGACGAAATAGAAGGTTTGCAAAGATATGTCATGCTCCCTTGTAAAAGTAAATTATATTTTCAAAATACAAAACCCAGTATTTTATTATGATACATTTGTGGCTGCTGTAATTTGTAGTTTATTTTGATCCATGCAAACACTTGTTATTGGATCGACAAAAACGCATCATAATACCAGGTGTAAACTGGGCCTAAAGTCAAACCTATAATTTAGTGTAATTGTAGCAATAGTTTACATTGTAGTTTACATGGTTTATTTTTGAGAAATAAGGATTGGCTTTTGCAGGTTGTCCACAGTGTTTTGCTGTTTGTACAAGTTGTTTTGAGGAATGCACTTACTGTTTTGAAAATGTTAAGGATGATTTGCAAAGTGTACCAAAGTGACTGAAACAAACTGTTATAAATGCTGTAGAAGTAGAATTCTGTAAAAATTCATTAACTAATGGAACCTTTGTTAATGGATTTTTACTGAGTTCTTGTAAAGTGTGTCAATTCCACCTTATAATTTAATTATTTGCTATGTATACAGTTGCAATAATAATTATTAACCCCCCTGAATTATTAGCCCTGTCTCTCTGTTTAACGGAGAGCAGATTTTTTTCAACACATTTGTAAACATAATAGTTTTAGAAACTGATTTCTAATATCTGATTTCTTTAATCTTTGCCATGATGACAGTAAATAATATTTGACTTGATATTTTTAAGACACTTCTGTACAGCTTAAAGTGACATTTAAAGGCTTAACTAGGTTATGAAATATTTTTGGTGATGATGTGGATTTTTCTTTTACAACAATTTATCTGGGAAATATTGCAGCCAACTTAACGGTAAAAGACAAGTATTTATTAAAAATACTCCTAGCAACCAGTAAGAAATTGTGACTCGAAAGTGGCTACAACTGGAACCCCCGACAAAATCTGAATGGTTGGATATCATGTCTAATGTTCAAAATATGCAAAGGATGACTTTTTCTTTAAAACTACAAATGGACAAATAACCGCAATATTGGGAGAAATGAATTGTACTTATGCCTTTACACATTGTAATCTGATTTTTATATGAATTTGTTCATTTGACCTGTAAGGAAATATGTGACCAGTCAACTGTTCATTTAAGTTCTGGTGTTTTATGTATTATTTAAATTATTTTATTTTTTAAATCCATTATTTGTATTTTTTCCCCTTGTTTTTTTCC